ATGGATCCTGGTGGAATCTACGGCTCCTGGTGGATTCTAGAATCCATCAGGAGCCACCAGGAGCCGCTTTTCCCCCCTTGCATGTAACAGTACAATGTGACGTATTTCTTATTTACATGAGTTAAACTTTAACTTTTTTAATTATAATCCCAAAAAGTCATTTTTGACTAGTTAGATAGTTTCTTAGGATTAAATGTTTGTAGAAAAAAAATTCTTTGACTATAAGAAAAAGGACAAGGAATTCTAGCAGAAGTATATTAAACAATTCTATGACGAAACTGTTCGAGATGATATCTATATTTGTAAGACTTCGATACGATTTTAAACACACAAAACACTAAAGACAATATTTCTTACCGTTTAACATCAGGTGAAATACTCATAAATTCTCTTGACCATAATTTTAAATTTGGATTTCGTACAAGTTCTATAAATGTAACTAATAATCCCCATGGATGTGGACGATTTGCTACAATTCGTTCAAGTAAAACTCTATACAGAGAAAAAAAGTAATCAATTAATATTTCATTGTCAATCGGTGATATAACTATGCCTACCGAACAATTTGTTCTTGTAAAGCTTCTGAATTTGCTTCAGCAAATAAATATAAAATTGTATAGATAAAATAATGTGTATGGGTATTTGGATATCTTAAATGATTAGCCATAGCATTTAAAAATAAATATCGTCCTTCTGTATCCAAATCAACAGCTAAATTTTGAAATATATCCATATGAGCTGTATGAGTTATTGATGACATTAATGGTTGCCGATTATTTATTGTTGACAATGCTTGTGTGGCAACATATAAGACAAGTGCATTCAACATTCTAATATTATAATGTGAACCAGGATCGGCACCTTGTTGTAAATATGAACGTAATTCCGATAAGAATGTTACTGGTGCACGTGAACGTAGATATGAATCAAGATTTGTTTTAAATTTTGATGGTTGAATATTTAATGAATAATTGTATGAGATTGTTGGTGTTGTTGCTATATCATTGAGCGTATCGATTTTAACATTGGTTTTTAATGGATCTGGACAACGTATCTGTTTTGGAAAGGACGATAAGATTATATTACGTAATTGATGTGATATTAATGGTAATGAATCACAAAATTCATAATAATGTTCACATAAAAATTCTGGAAAATCATGTAATAATAACATGAATGTTTTTAATATGCCTTTATAATAGACTTGAAATGATTGAGTATTTTCACCGGAACGTATAAATGGAGCAACAAGACGTAATGCATCGACAAGAAGTAATGAATACATATTTTGAATTTGACGATAAAATCGACCACCATTTAATAAGAAACGAGACATTAATGTTCGATGAGCAACTATTTCAAGCCAAGCGAAAGCAAAACCGGTTACGCGTTGAGGACGTAGAAGATGTAGACAATTTGTAAATGCCAAGTAAATATAATACATTACTTGATCATTGGACGCAGTATTGTCGCCAACGGTTGTTGGACTATAAATGTTTTTAAAAAAAGAACGTCGATTTGTTTATCAAACACTTTTAATCAAAATGATGTGACAACCGGTTAAATTAGCCGAAATATCATAGAATAGTCTAAGCAATATTGATCCTACAATCAATATTAGCTGTTAACTCGACAAGACGATCAATCTGATACTTCTCATATACACTTACTAATCGGAACACAAGATGTATGTAGAATAAAGTACCTTATGAGCATGTTTTTGCATTACTAATCTATTAAGCTATGATGATCAGAGTAGCTTGAGAAATATTTTTTATGCTAAGTTAAATTTGATGTCTAACGAAAATGTAAGATCTTGTTCAGTTTCGGTTTGCTAAATCATGAGAAAAAACAATGCAAATAAGAATTCCATTACTCTCATTTTATATCAATGGATTCAATGGTTTACTATAGATAGTAACATAGTTATGATCTATTTTTTTCTGAGAAAATCCACCCTATTTTCAACATGTCACTAATTAAAACATCAGTTATAGAAATTTTCATCAAAAACATAATACGCTTTCTTGATAAATATCTCAGATATGAGTATGTCTAACAAGATGGAGATCTTGTTTTGTCAAGTTAATAAAGAAATTTCTTACCTAGTGACATTTAATGCAGCAGCATTTGTTGATTCTTGAAATAGATTTAAAATAATTCTTTCATATGCAAGTGGATGAAATTGATCTCCACGTTCTTCATGATCCAAAAAGCACAGTGTAGCTAATAAACCTAATATGATATTAATGATATGTATACGAGCAGCATAATTATTATTATCTGATGTATGCACTGTTAACAAGTATAAAAATCGACACAGAGAATCAATTCCTTGATGACAACGAACATATTGAGGATGTTGTTGTGACGATGATGACTTTTGTTGTACAACATCATAAACATTATTAATACATAATTGAATTGTTGCACGAATAAATTTTGCTATTGTATCATCCGAACGAATTATGCCTTGTAAAGTCATCTAAATAAAATAAAAACTTTTAGGAACTATATGTCAAGTATCTTAAATATTTTAAATTAAAAACTTCTCGAATGTAGATATGAGATAAGTTTCTGTATCGAAAAAAATAAGAAAGATTCAAACCTGATTGAAGAATTCTTGAAAAGCTTGCTGTTGACTGATTCGATTTGTTTGTGTCATTGTTAAATTAACCCAATCGTTTAAGATAAGTTTTGCTTTATTGATAATTGTTATACTTTCAATATCGTCCATCGATAAATATTTCATTCCATTATTGATAACTGATAATGATAAAATAGCTAATTTATCGATTTTATTTTCATTTGAATCAGTTAATGATGCATAGTTTAGACGTATGATTTCAAGTAAATCTCGAACAGCTTCAGCTGGTTGTTTACCAATTAATGATATACGATGGAGTGAATCGAGTGTTAATGGAATATCATTATCGGAACAACATGGCTGTTCAATAACACAATTACGAAGAAAATTAACAGCAAAATGAAGTGCCGCATTACTTCCTGAATCAATTAATTGAGATAATTGTACATCGATTTGTCGAATGTCAAGAAGACGATGACGTATTAAATGATTGAAAGCAAATATATTAAATTTAAATTCATTGGCACATTCTAACCATGATTTAGTTAATTGTTTATTAATAAATTGTAATGGTAAACGTATTTCGACAAGTAATTTTAATACATTCATATGAATTGTTTTGAAACGTTCAAAACTTTCATTATCTTGAACTTGAGATTGAACAGTGTAATGTTCAAGATAATTGTAAAGTATTATATGTAATAAATTTGTTAATGCTACTTGCGGTGCATTTGTTGGTGTTTGATTTTGTAAATTAGATCGAAGTAGATTAACACTCTCTAGTAAACGTTGAAATGCTGTTGTAAATAATTGATTACGCTGACTTTGAATTGTTTGTTCAATGTCAGATATTAATCGATCCCATACGGATGGAACACTTTCTTCCATCTAAATAAAATGTTCATGATTTTTATTCTTCTATAGATTAGGATAAAATCGATTGAAGCTTAGACAAGTGACTGAATCGAGTATTGTAGAAGAAAAATAAACGTGCCTGGAAAGTTTATCGAAAATATTTTTCGATCCAACCTTTAAGTTATTTCATTTTTAACTTCTTTTATAAATATTATACTGAAAATTTTTGTTTTTACTATATATAAATTTCAAAGAAATTACCGTAGCTAATTCCCGTTTTTCACTATCATTGGGTTTAAAACCCGGAATAAAATGAACGAAATCTTCATAGATAGCCAATTGATGTGGTGAAAATGGGCCATAATGTAAACGAACTTGTTCTGGCAATCTATCTTCACTAATAGTATTTCCCATTGATAATTGTCGTCCTTCGGTTCTACAACGTTGCCGTAGTTCAATATCGGCTAATAAACGTTGATCGATCAATTGTATTGCACGACTTATTGTTATTCGTTGTAGAAGACAACAACATAATTCAATATTTGTTGTTGCTATTTCATTAGCAGCTTGTTGAATCATTTCACTTGTTGCTTGATCATTACTATTCAATGTAGATGTTTGAGATATGCCAAGTACATTATGAAAATGAGATTTCATATATGATTGAATTTGTTCTTGTAATGCTGTACGTGCAGTTATCAGAACAAGGCCACTACTTAAATAGGCAACCATATTACGTGCCGATGTACGTAATTGTTGTTCATCAGGATTTAGAAGAAAATCTTTTCGTACTATTGTTTCTGCTGCACTTGTTGCGACTTTAAGCGAACGTTGAACAGTTTGAAAACTTTCATTGATAGCCTGTTCAATTGTTGAATATGTATGAGTTTTAAGCTGTGGATGAACTCGAAAAAGTGACAGATTTGGATTGATTTTAAGCATGGCACTTAACGATTGAAACGTGGATGGTTTAAAATCTGATAAACGATATTGTGGCTCAGAAATAGTTGTTATTGTTGGTGCGGTTTGTGTTGTAGGCGTTGTTATTGTCGTCGTCGTTGTTGTTGATGATGATGATGCTGTCGTTGGTGCCATCATTGCTGATGGTTGAGCTAATGGAGTTACTACTGGTAGTAGCGACGCAACTGGAGCATTCGGATTTGATAATTGTTTTTCAAGTTTATCAAAATAATCTTTGTTCATTAATATATTATGAATTGGAAGTTCCTGAACAAACGAGTAGAAGCATTTTACAAATATTTCATTACAGTAACTGGACATCTCTATTGTGTATCTAGACTTTAACATCGGATCGATATGATACGTTTCTTCTTAGTATCTATAACCATAGTTAGATTTAGATGACCATACAAAAATGGATCTTTTTGTGGTAGAAGTTGTTAGCTCAGTTTCTTTGGGCTCAGTGTAGTTCTCATGATCATATCTGCCATGTGTTTAATGAAATCTATTCAGTACCTATTTCCTGTAGCTAAAGTCTGTTCTATGAATGAGAAAATATCAAACTAGAATTCATAACTGCCAATCTAGTTTATTTTCGATTCAGTTACTAGTGGATTGCTTATTCATAGAAATGATAAATTTAAAATAGTCTCGTATAATAAATTCAATTATCTATCCGCTAGATACGAATCAGATTGATTATATCAACATAAAATACATCGATTACTTACATTTAATGGAATTTCTAAATGTTTACAAAGAACTTCAATTTCGAATTTTAAATTCAATTTAAAATCTTGTGTTCCATGCATTTCTGCAAGAATAGACATGATACCCATTAACCATGGATTTGGCTGTTGAAAAATCTATTTTATTTTTCAAATAAATCAGACATACTTTTTAAAATTTTTTCTTTACTTTGCTTTTTGCACATGATTCTAAAATTTTCGAAACAAATGGTATAACATATAGTAATTCTTGTGGGCCCATATGATATGCTTCGATGACTAAAGATTTCATTTCCAAATCCTAAACAAATAAAATGAATACAACTTTCGTGAACTATTCCTTATTTTTGTGCTAGTAATTCTTTGAATTAGAATAACCTAAGTAATATTTAAAAACAAAACACTAAAAAATATTTTGAAACGGTTTCCATCAAATTGTAGTAGAAAACTAAAGTAATGTTAAAAGTTCTAGTTTGCAGTATTCTTGGGTTCTAGGAGCCTTTTCAAAGATATCTTATTTCAGCAAGTTTGCTATAAGCCACTTGAAGCATAGTTTTAGGAAAGAACAATTAGTGTCACATTGAGAAAAATAGTATCTATAGCTTTTAGTTCCGAAACAATGAGCACCTACTAAAGACACACGGTTTAAAATACTATGTCTTCTAAAACTTGTACATGATAAATCTATTTACATTGGTCAACTGGAAAAAATCTCTCATCTTAGGTTTCGAGTCAGATTTATGTTTTGTACAAACCGTAGCAAGAATTGGTTTATTTCGTCCAATCGTAATTAAGCCAAGCCAATGACCAAGATTTTTTAATAAGGAACGATCAGGAATATTATTGATTTGTTTATCACTTGATAAAAGAATCTAAATAGAAAAATTTTAATTTATTTGAAAACTGAGAAATTCAATTTTGCTATTATCGATATTTTACTTTTATATTTCGATGTGTTTCAGTTAGAACTGTGTCGAAAAGAATATTAATATTAAGTGTATTGAGAAAACCAGCGTATAACGAATGAAAATTATGTTCTAATGATACACGTTTTATAACCAGATACTGTCCGACCCATTTCCATAATTGTTCATCGTTATTCAATAAATCTTTTAATTCTTGTGCCTAAATTATTTTGTGGAAAAAAAATAAATAATAAAAATAGCGCTTTTGGAAAAACTAAAAATACCTTTTGTGATAGATTAGACAGTGATAAGTTATTAAATGTAAATGAAACTTTATCATTAATATGTTCTGGTGGTTGTTTGATTCGAACAAGATTATAACTTGGATCATTGATTAATGTACGAATATTTGCATTTTGTGTTAACGAAGGCTAAAATGCAAGCTAATAAAATAATTTCATAATCTTAAATGAAAACATACGCCTTTTTGTGATGCACTTTCTTTGCCAATAGGATTAAATTGTTGAGGTGTTGTCATCGATGAGCCACTATTCATTCTTGCAAATACATGTGAATGTGGACTAGTAGCTATGGACTGAGGCGGAATATTTGGCGTTGGCGTTAATGTATGTAACGCATCAAATGTGGGTGGTGGAATTGTTGCTTTAGAATTAAAATCAAGATAATCAGTTATTTGTGTTGGAATCTCTGAATAAGTTGGTAAATTCCGTAATGTTTGAACTAAAGCTGATTGTTCACGAACTCTAAATAAAAAAAGGAAATAATTTTATTTTTATATTGAAAAACAAATAATTATCAGCAAATCACATGAAGAAAAGTCATCAAATGTGATGCCCTCTACTGTTATTGAACCTGTATCAGTTTGACGGCAATAGAGATATTGAAAGTTTTGAAAAAAATGAATTCCTATGAATTGTGACTCTTGGCCCATCTATTGAGTTATTGTAGTTTAGGTTGAGAAATGTTTATCTGACGAAATTCAATTAGGATGATGAATAAAAATGAATGGCTCATAAGTATTACGTAATGTCACTGAAACATATTTAGAGTATTTATCGACAGAAGTATTTCTTATTTGAGATATTAAACGAAACCCACATTCGGTTGAAATTTTATCTTAAGTTTAGATCCACAAAACTGTCCTACAGACCAAATATCAACTCGATTGAACTCGCGTCCTTGTTAATGCGAAGTATTTGACGTAACCATGTGATGGCTTGTATATTTTCTGACGAAAAATAATTTTCCATTCTTCTTTTTATTCAACTAGACATTTTTTATTCGTTTGGATTTTTCTTTTAGAACAATCTAGATTAATAAGATTTCTTTCAGAGAAATTGACCATTTCACTGTTCTATTTTTGGATCTGTAAAAACTCTTCAGGAAATGAATTTTCAATAGAAGAATATTTAGTAAAAAGCTAAAATCATAATTCTTATTTATCATTAAATTTGATTTGGTATTTCCGAAGAAATCATCTTTTGAAAAAATCATCCCACCTTGTTTTGCATCGATTAAGTGCTGTTACAGAAAAATTCCAAAGATTAGTTCCAACTGGTTTTTTTAAACCTTCGAGAATAACTCGAAATGCAGCAATTAAAACTTGGTTTTGGAATAAACCACGTTCGAAAAATCCACCAAATAATTGCGCTGTTAGAAGTAATTCTCTTTCAGGATATTGAGGATAGAATTTATATTCTTCGAATAAATTTCTTATTCCATTTTGAAATACTTCCTTAAAAAAAAATTATGTTGAAAAAAAAGCATCTGCACATTTGAATTGATATCTTACTCTTTCTCGTGGTATTGTTGAATCTTTACATTTTGCCATAATATCAAGAAATTCATCCACCGATATTGGCGGTGGACTTGTGGTTTTAGAATATAAACGTTTGAAATAAACATCAACATCGGATATTTCATTCATTATTGATGACTCATTATTATTCGAACCTGAAAGAAAAAAAGGCAATCGTAACAAATAAAAAATGTAAATAGTTGATTTGTATCATTTAGATGCATTCTTGTTTTCTTTAAAATGTTCTTACTGAAAAATTCTCTATTCATTGTATCATAGTCGAATAAATTTGTAGGCCCTCAACAACGATGATGAACAAATAAAACTAAACATGATTTTGTCAAAAAAAAAATGCTATTTTTATAATGGTAGATGTTTCGACGAATCTCTATTTTTTCTTTTCTTTCTCTTTTTCTCGACCGCTTTGTTGTTTTATGCTCGTTCTTCTTATAGCTATTACTTCTATCGTCGCATTCATCCTCTACTGTGGATGATGCTTTGTACTCTGTAAAAAGCGACAATTTGAAAAATAAATTACTTGGTAAGGAACGAAGTTGAGTCGATAATGAAACTCCATTGGTTGGTGATGGTGTAAAAGGATGCGTTAATGTTGTGTGAAACGGTTCAGATCTTGTTGATGTTAAACTATTAAGAATTTTTGCTGTTGATATCATTGTTTGAATTTCTTGTATTAGATCTAAATTTGTTATTGATGATAATGCTAATTGAAGCACTGTTAAAAGAATATTTATTGTTTCAATATTAGCTATTTGCTTATAATTTGTGTCGTCTTTTGAAGGAATTTGTAGTAATTGCGGAGCTTTTTTACGCAAATATTGTACAGTTGTTTGAATAAATAAATCCTAGACAGTAAGAAGAATTATAGAAAAAACATTCTATTAAAAAAATAATTTTATTTTCTTACTTGATGTTCACGTAATTTATCTGACAACCATTTATCTAATTTTAAATAACCACGTCTTGATGCTAAACAAGCTAAATCAAGAATAAATGTTATTGGTTGTGCTGCAAGTAGTATAGGTAAAGCTTTTAAATCTTGGACTATTTCAAGTACACGACTAAGACGTTGCTGTTGTTCATTATCACTTGAACGATTATACCAATCGGCTAATGCTGTTAATAAACTTGTTCGTAATTGTGTTATGTGATGCTGTAGAAAAGAAAAAAAAGTAGAATCTAAAAATATTGTCTATTTTTTTAAATCCTACTTGTGAATTCCACATATAATTAAGAAGTGGATTTGCATTTGGGCTATTGGCAAGAAATGTAGGAATTATTAATTGTAATAGTTCTTGTTTCAATGTTGTCCAAACAGTCTAAATTTGTCAACAGAAAAATAAGCAATAATTTATTACATATATATAACGGTATGGATACGTTTGGCTAACTACAAACAACTCTTCGCATAGTGGTTATGTTAAATTTCGATAGACGAAGAGTAGTTATAGGATATGAGAATAACTGCGCTATTGTTTTCATTGGCAAAATCCCTGATTATACATCCTAACAAGTGAGAACTGAATTGTACGAAAATATCCTAGTCTTTTTCAGCACACAAGAAAACTTCTGTAATAATACTAATTTATTTGAACTTATACCGTTCTGATTGGTGGGGATATTAGTAGAAATAAAATTAATTCGATAGTTTTTCAAGGATTCGCCATTGATTCCGCTAAACTTGCACAATTATGATTTAACACTTTTGTTGAATAGATTTTACTTAAAGTTTTGCCGAGTAATATTCTTTTCAACTTTAACATTTAGAACATATCATGAGAAATTGAAGTTTTATCGATGAGTAAAATATTATATTGGAATTTTACTTTTTACTATTTAAATTTAAAATAGAACCGAAATCAAATCTATCACACTTATTGAAATATGTGACACTAAAATTTCACTTCTAAATGTGTTCAAATGAAATGAACTTCTCCAAACAGTTTCCTTGTTACTGTTAAATGATCACTTTGATATACGTTTCCATAAAAAATTGATCATGGCTGGAATGTATATGTTCTAATGTATTAGACATCTTCATTATCAAAATAAGATCTCATCGTTTTCTGTTATTGATACTTTTAGTTTAAATCGATCAAAAAAAAAAGATACTCTATTGTTCATGCAAATATTTCTTTGATAAATTCTTAAATGACTTATAAGAGTAGGGAAAACTACACCATGAAGACTTTGTGAAAAATGATGTCACCATTTTGTCTTTTTAATTCATATTCTGGTCGTACATAGAGAACCTTTCAGTTGGTAAAATCTTAAAATATTTCGAGCTCATAGGTCTTCTCCATCCGATCGGCAATTTCTTTTAAGTCTAGAAATATTTTTTCACGATTCTATTATCAAGTGAATTCTCTTCAAGCTTATCGAAATTATGTCATGTTTGACTCTTCGAGCATCTTACATGAAGTTGTAATAAACCAAGAAAAATCAATTCGCCCGAACGTTGAATTCCATGTTTAAATATGTCAAGTACAATAGGATATAAACCTGTATCGGCAATGCGTAATAAACATTCAATTAAATTTAATGAACGCCTATAATTTATTTAAAAAACAAAAATACTCAAATTTTCATAGAACACAAATAAATCTTGTTTTCTTACCATGTCCACGTTTCCTTTGTATCCTCGAGTGGATGCTTGAGACAATCAATCAAAACAGGATGAGCTGGATGATCACCGAAACAGAATACATCCGGATAACGAATTGCTTGAGCAAGCCATGACAACTTAAATATATTCAAAATAAAAAACATTAAAAGAATATTTTAAATTCGAATTTTTATTTTCTAACTTGTCCGTCAACGTTATTCCAACGTCCATAAAGTAAATCAATATATTGTTCAGGTGGTAATGCTCGCCGTAGGGCTGTTACAAGTAGTATCAGAGCTTGTCGATCACGTACTAAAAATCCTGTATGGTCGAATTCTTTTACAACATCTTTCCAATTTACAGTTGGTACCTAAAAATACAGCTCGTTTTATTTCAAATAAAAGAAAACATATTTTCTAATATCATACTAAATCATTTATTGCAATCACAAAGGTATCAACATTCCAAGTTGGCGTTGAACTTTTATCACTATTTGCTATCATTTCAACACCATTCGAATCCTAAAAATTATAAACGTAAACAATTTTATTCGTAAGAAATGTCAATACGCTGCAGTTTCTTATCAGTTGACATTTATAAAAAAAATTTATTTGGGGATAGTTTAAATATCTTCAGAAACTGAATTGTTTAGACTTTTTCACTATCTTACGACGGAAAAAAACTCAAGTTGAAGCTTCACCGCGAGCAAATAATAAGAGCTTGCGATCACACACATTCCCATTGTTTAAACAATGTATTAGCGACGTTCAGGTGCTAGGTAATACAAAATCTCGTTCTTGAACAAAAATAAATCTTTGTACTATTGATTTTTTGCAGGTATAATAAATCTTTCTAGAAACTCGAGCATAAACATAGTGTCTAGTCTGAAGTCTAATGTCAATCTGTACAATCATTTGCTAATTAAATTAAGCCTTAATAAATTAAATAATTTCATCGAATAAACCCTTGTCAATACGCAAGTTCAAGAAAGATAGATTTCTTCGTCTATTGAATTGTATGTGAAACAAAATCATTTCAAAACATGCTAGCTTCATGAAAAAAATGGATAGAAATAATGTTTTATTTCAGATTTTTAAGCTTAGGATCAGCTCTTATCTATTGTGGCTGGGATATAAATATTCCCTGACGAAACTAACCAATTCATTGTATTATACTTTAAATTGAAAGTATCAATGTTTTCGCATATATTCGAAGAGATAAAATTTAGTGAGAAAACAAATCGCCCTAAGCGATCAAATTTAAATCGAATATTACATTTGAAATATGAATCGATTCGTAACAGAGAAAAATAATCGATTTATTTTAGTTTTATTTAGCTTTGAAAAAAAAATTTCATCCATGGACCCTACCAAAATCAAATGCAGTCTCTTCTATTAAATTTTATATTAGTCTATGGAAAAAAGCTATGCCTATTATTTTTATTTACATAAATCGATGTGTTTTCATTTAAGCCTGAATGGGTTTTAATCATAGCTGAAAGTATCCGTGCAATAGTTGATGGTTTTAATTCTTGTAAACCAAAATGAACTAATGCATTTCGACAATGTTCAATTGATGATGTAAAGTCATAGCCCATTTCAAGTATAACATCGGATAATGTACCATCCATTTGCCACTTCAAAAACAAAAATAGTAATAATAATAAAAATTCCTTATTCATCAAATTCATACCACTGATGTAGAAAGATTACTTGAATCAGATAATATCTGTGTAGATGTGAGATCATTTGATATTGTATTCGATGGATAAAGTATTGGAAGAAGAATTAATAGATTATTATTGCCTATTCTTTCGATTGAATATTCTAAAAATAAATCTTTTATGCAATTGTATACGAAAAATTATAATATAACAACAACCTTTTCGTAGTAAATTGAGCAATTGTTCATATTGTTCAACTTTAACAATGGATGATTCATTCGATACATATTGTCGAATTTGTATTAGAAGTGGATGAAGTGATTCGATAGATAAATCCGTTAAACCTACTTCTTTCAAACTTGAATCTTCAATAAAAACAGATAATTAAATTTTTTAAAAAAAAATTCAAAATAACATTTTGCATTCACTATTACCAAATTCAATTATTGTTTGAATAAATTCTGGTAAGCGTTTTTGAATATGCTCATGAACTAAGATTTGAAGTTCTGTTTGAGTTGAATTTTTCAAGGCAAGAACAAAAACAAGTTCTTGCGCATGATTCAATTTAAACAATTTACATATTGTAGTCAAAAAAGCATTGGGTGGTGACAGGATTTTAAGTGACTAAATTCAAAATAAATTATTTTGTTTATCGAAAATTTTCATTTATCTATTCTATACTTTTTGTGCTATAGCTGTATCAAATGCATAGCAAATTAATGTAGGAAAATTTGGTTTTGAAATAAATGATGCAATTTCTTGTTGCCAATAGCTTAGATAAATATTTTCGGGACGTTTTAATGTTATATTATTTTCGTCAATGGATTGTAAATCAAGATATGATATTAATGTACGATACAAATGACGTTCAGCTTCAAATCCATATTCAGATATAAGCTAGAAAAATAAAAAATAGATTGATACATGAAAAAAAAAGGAATTTTCTTTCTTATTGATTGATTTACATTTGATATTTCAGCAACAGAATTTTTGAAATTACTTTTTGATAATGTTTTGATTGTAAATGATATTTGAGCAAGAGCTAAGGATACTGCATCAAGATTCATTGTTTTTGATACGGCAAAAGCCGAACAAATTGAATAGATTTCGATTTCGATATTGCTCGATAATACCGTATTATGTTAATAAATAAAGAGAATGTCTAGATAGACGTTATATTTTTGTTTGAATCAAAAAGAAAATGAAAAATCTAATTTTTTGTACGTGATATGAAAGATTAAAAGTAAATAATGTAGAAAGTCCGCTATTCGTGTTGTAATTTAATCATGTTTTATTAAGCTTACGCAATTGGTTAGAAATATGATTGACTAATTAATAGGAATACGATCATTTTTTCCATCGTGCACTGCTATAGACTGATTTATTTTTTAACTAGTAATTTACATTTTTTTTTGTTAAAAAAAACTGATACTATTCTTACTTATACTATCATATTCAATTCTCTTCGTGAAAGATGTCACTCGTCCTCGACGCTCGATAAAACTACAGTCTACAATAAATATATTCATTGACTGCGAGAGTTCGCATGAATGTTTTTTTTCTTTTGTTCACTAATTTTACTCACAGAATAGGACCCTGAAAAACGAAAAGTGGTATAATAGAAAGAGAATCAAATAATCTTTTATTCAAAAGTTATTGTTCATACGATTAGATTTATTATCGATAGCAGCATGTGAGCAGAAAAATTGAACAGTATAATATATTTTGAAGTACAGTCGTCTCTCCTCCTAGAAGATTTTATGTTTTGAGAGTTTCTAATTAGGATTAATAATTAAAACAAAACAAAATAGGAGAATAATACAAGTATCTTCAAGAGATACAATGCTAAATAAAGTAAATATACTATTATAATAGTTAATCTTAGTTAGAATCTTCATTTATGACCTTGCTCATATTGGTTCATCCGCAAACTATTTGATATTGTGCATTTTTTTTTCTAATAAAGATTCGATAATTATCAAACACTGTTTATTTCATACCTGAATCATAGTAAACATATAACTGGATGATAGAATTTAAAACATTATCATCTCATGACACGATTTAGATCGTAGATATGTGAGTAATATGTCACTTGGTTTCTACTGCTGTAATTGATTTCAATGCTTCTCTCATATATTTTTCTTTAAAAAAACGAAAAGTACAACTTTTCTATACTATTTGTCTATAAAAAGAAACAGTACTACATTTTACGACCATAGAATAACTACAAAACAGCTATTCTTGTTTAAAAAAATATATCACCATTCGATAGCTAACTGATTTCATTCTCTTTTATAATCCTTCATATAGCTTGCTTGACAGAGAAGTTAGTATAAAGTATCCCAAAAACGAGATTAACTATTCGGATGCGAAAGTTGCGTGCCTTGGAGGGAGACGTATTTTTGAACTCAAACTCAATCATTTGTATAATTATAAGTAGATCAATAGGAGACTAAGAAACGCTGTAAAGGATTCGATCTGATGATCTACTGATGAAGATTTATGATTGCTTTAATGAAATTTGTAGTGGTGGAAAAGCGTTTTTCAGAAAAAAATCAAAAACGAAGAATGTGATCCAAAAATTTTGGGTGGAATCGAACATCTCTGTATTGAGATATTCAAACAGATGTTATGGTTGTACTGTTGGTTAATAAATAAAAACATCTTAATTCGATACAACCTATCAATTAAAGATTTCCGGTCAACGTCAAAATATGGAGAACGAACTTCGAAGTTCATATATCATTTACAATCAATTTTTGAGTTCCAACCTATCATAGAAGTACCACAAATCCTATTCACTATGTTTTTCCTTTCGATTATTGATTGTTATCCGTGAACATGTGTATATACACATTTCATTAATACGATTTGTTGATCGGGGCGTAAGTCAGGTCTCAGAGCAAGGGGGGGGGGGGGGGGGTAAAAGTTTTTTTTAGTTTTTTGTAAACAAAAAAAACAAAATTTTAAA